GCGTTCCATCTCCATGGGCTGATGTTCCACCTTAGGAACGCTCCATCGGAGGTCCTCGAAGGTTCCTCGGTGGAACGGAGCATATGGTTAGAGCGGGTTCCTCAGGCAGGGTTCTAGAGATGTTTTTCTAACGTCAGTTTTTCCTCCCTGGAGAATCTGTTCATGTTCTCACCTGAGTTCTGAGGATGACGATGTTATGATGATGTCACAGAGCTGAAGAGCGCCTCCATCCATTGGCTGTCCTGTGGGCAGAAGGCGGAGCCTGATGTTTGGACCAGGATGTTCTGCATCCTGTCAGACTCTCAGCTTCTGATGCTGGATGACTTGGAGGTCAGCAAACACTAATCTTTAACCAGTTTAAACCGGTGTTAACCAGTCTAAACAGATAAACAGTCTTAGTTAGCCTTAACAAGTTAAACTGACCATAACCTGTCTAAACCAGTTTTAGCCAGTTCCTCTTTGGGTTTTTCTTTTGGTGTTTTGCCAGTATGGCTCTGGGAAGGGGAGTGGTCTCCTAGTGGTCAGGGCATAGAGCTGGGAATCCTGAGGGACTAGTCCAAGTCCCACTCCCACAGAATGCCACTCTAGGTCCCTGAGCAAGACCCTTATCCTCACACTGCTCCCTGGGCGCCCACTGCTCCCCAAGGGGAGGGGATAAATAATAATCAATTATTATTAATTGGTGTCCCATCCGTTCCCACATTCATCTGGTCATCTGATAGCCATGGCTGCCAGGAAACCCAGACAGTCCATGGGTTGCAAGAACATTAGAGATTGAACTAACAGATTCTGCAGAGTGGGAGAATAGAGATAGAATGATGAAAAAGGGGTCCCTATGTCCTCCAGCAGTCTAAGCCTATAGCAGCAGAACTATAGAGATAGAATGAAGCAGAACGTCAGCAGCAAGTTACTGATCATTAACAGTCTTCTTCTCTTTCTCCAGGTTCATCCTCTGCTGCTCACAGAGAGGGCGGAGACCTGCACCATCTGGTTGCTAAGATACACTCTACATGTGACCCCAGCAGCTCCTGGCTCCGCCCAGAAAGGTAAGGAAGACCAGCACAAGCAGACGAAGAAGGTCAGTAGCTGATGGACATGCAATAAGACTGATGGAGGGACAGATGATAGATGGACAGGTGTTGGACAGTCGGCTGTTGGACAGTCGGATGCTGGAGCCCCGCTGTAATGACGGTAAGGCAGTTCTGGTTCTGTCTGCAGAATGATCAGGGATCAGATCTGCGCCTTAAGCTTGTCAACATGTCCCAAAAATTAATCTGGTAATCTGGGCTGAGGCTGGTTACCGTGGCAACATGGAGGATGGATGATGAAGCAGGAGGATCTGTCAGGAAGGTGAGGGTCCCAGCAGGTCAGAAACCGAGCGGGACATCAAACCCATCCTGCCCGGACAGACGGCCTGACTGGGTCTAGGTTCCTGGGCTGCCGGGGCCGGGGCCAAGAACCCTGGATTAGTTTAGGAGGCAGGGAGGGTTCTATGGACCGGTACCCAGCCCAAGGTTACCGGCTAGTTAATGATAACAGCTGCTAATGCAAGATACCAGGTGGAACTACTGCCACGCCCCCAGCCAATCAGGGC